ACTACGGCACCTCCGAGTTCGAGCACACGTTCAGCTCGATGACGATCCCCGGACTCCGATCCAGCAAAGTGTCGGGGAAGAGTTTCGTCAGCACGACGGCGTGGTGACGATCTTGATGAACTACATCAGCAGGGCTTCGCCTAAACTCCGCTACAGTATTATCGAGGAATATGGTGGCAGGGGGCACCGCACACGGCTAAGGAATAGATCACGTGGATCAACTTGTGTCAACTTGTGTGTCTTTGGGGTGCCTCTACCTCAGTATATAAAGGAGCCAAGGGGGGAGGGGGCGCCGGCCAAGAGAGAGAGGCGCAGGAGGAGTCCTACTCCTACCGGGAGTAGGACTCCCCCCCCCCCCAATCCTATTCCAACTAGGATTCCCAAGGGGGAAAGAGGGAGAGGGGTGGCCGGCCACCTCTCCTAGTCCTAATAGGACTAGGGGAAGGGGGGAGGCGCGCAGCCCCCTTGGGCTGCCCCTTTCTCCTTTCCACTAAGGCCCATGATGGCCCATATGGCTCCCGGGGGGTTCCGGTAACCTCCCGGTAACCCGGTAAAATCCCGATTTCACCCGGAACGCTTCCGATGTCCAAACATAGGCTTCCAATATATCAATCTTTATGTCTCGACCATTTCGAGACTCCTCGTCATGTCCGTGATCACATCCGGGACTCCGAACAACCTTCGGTACATCAAAATGCATAAACTCATAATATAACTGTCATCGTAACCTTAAGCGTGCGGACCCTATGGGTTCGAGAACAATGTAGACATGACCGAGACACGTCTCCGGTCAATAACCAATAGCGGGACCTGGATGCCCATATTGGCTCCTACATATTCTACGAAGATCTTTATCGGTCAGACCGCATAACAACATACGTTGTTCCCTTTGTCATCGGTATGTTACCTGCCCGAGATTCGATCATCGGTATCCAATACCTAGTTCAATCTCGTTACTGGCAAGTCTCTTTACTCGTTCCGTAATACATCATCTCACAACCAACATATTAGCTGTAATGCTTGCAAGGCTTATGTGATGTGTATTACCGAGAGGGCCCAGAGATACCTCTCCGACAATTGGAGTGACAAATCCTAATCTCGAAATACGCCAACCCAACATCGACCATTGGAGACACCTGTAGTACTCCTTTATAATCACCCAGTTACGTTGTGACGTTTGCTAGTACCCAAAGTGTTCCTCCGGTAAACGGGAGTTGCATAATCTCATAGTCGTAGGAACATGTATAAGTCATGAAGAAAGCAATAGCAACATACTAAACGATTGGGTGCTAAGCTAATGGAATGGGTCATGTCAATCAGATCATTCTACTAATGATGTGACCTCGTTAATCAAATAACAACTCATTGTTCATGGTTAGGAAACATAACCATCTTTGATTAACGAGCTAGTCAAGTAGAGGCATACTAGTGACACTTTGTTTGTCTATGTATTCACACATGTATTATGTTTCCGGTAAATACAATTCTAGCATGAATAATAAACATTTATCATGATTATAAGGAAATAAATAATAACTTTATTATTGCCTCTAGGGCATATTTCCTTCAGTATCCAGGAGTTACACGCTCTCATGGTCGAAGGAAGAGATACTTGACACTGGCAAAGCTCTAGCAAATGAAGTACACGATCTTTTGTGCTAGTCTTAGGATTGGGTCTTGTCCATCACATCATTCTCCTAATGATGTGATCCCGTTATCAACGACATCCAATGTCCATAGCCAGGAAACCATGACTATCTGTTGATCACAACGAGCTAGTCAACTAGAGGCTCACTAGGGACATATTGTGGTCTATGTATTCACACGTGTATTACGATTTCTGGATAATACAGTTATAGCATGAATAAAAGACAATTATCATGAACAAGGAAATATAATAATAATACTTTTATTATTGCCTCTAGGGCATATTTCCAACACTTTTTTCATATGTTCATAGACAATTCGTGCATCCATTCTATCACGTCTGACATTATTAACCACAAATTTATTCCCAATCCCCTCTATATTCTTTCTACGAGATTCATCCCCTACCTTCTCACAAAATCCATTGCAGTCATCTGCATTCTGGGATTTCATCCCAATTTTTTCTTTGCTTTTGTGTCGGGGCCTAATTTCCCCTTTGTTTCTTCCCATTCTAGCATCACCCACCTCAATCGAAATGGTAGAGACTAGGTATTTGGGATTTGGAAACATACCTTTGGCGAGGGAAGTGGAATCCCCCTCTTCCTCCGCCTCAGAGTCCTCACCGGCCAGCAACCAGAAGCGGTTCCCAGCCGGCGAGCACCCTACTGGCGGCGGGAGAGGGCGAGGAGGCGAGGCGAGCGCCTCGGAAAGCGAGGGGAGCGGCGAGGAAGCGAAGTCGTCGTCCTCCTGCGCCTTGGCGTCGCCATCACCACCATCTCTTCCTCTGCGTCCTCCTCGATCTCGATCGGAAGCCACCGGGAGCCTGGAGCCGGAATCCCCACCACCACCTCCTGCGGGGGCATCTGCGGCTGCAACGGCGGCGGCGCCCTCGGCTGGATCAGGCGATAGCGGAGGGAGCGAAACACCCTCCACTTCTCCCGCTGCATCGGATCCAGAGATTCCGCTTCCAACATCGCCCAGAGGAGCACTCCCATCGTCGGCTGTCGATCGTAGTTGGGGAAGCAGCGAAGGATCTCCTCCCCCCTGAGCTTGTCTCGCACCATCCCGGAGGCGTCGTTGAGGGCCTTCGCCGTCGGGAACCACCGATCGATCTCTTGAAGTCTCCCCATCAGCACCTCGTTGCCGTCCGCCAGCACCCACATCTGTTGCTGGCGCGTCGTCATCGAACCCTAGCTCTGTGGGCAGCGCGTCGCGGCGGCGATTTTGGATCGGATCTGCGAGAGTGGAAGTGGTGGAGGAAGTGGAGACGAGCCGGTGCGTCGGCCTGATAACCCCTCTCCCCACACCCCTGTCGCCATTAACCTCCTCGGGAACCGCCACCAGAGCGCCCCACCCGTCAGCCGCCACAAAACGCGCCAAGTGGCAAGGGAAAGCCACCATCCGTCCCTCCCTGATCTCCTCATCATCTGGCCAGCTTCGCGCGTCGACCACCACATCCTCACCGTCGACGAGCTCCAGCCGCCTCCCCCGCCGGCGAATTGCACCCGGTCGAAAGATTAACAGCGCCGAGCCGAGGTTGGGAACGTAGTCGCACCGAACGCGCAGGTCGCTCGCAGCGTGGGTATTGCACGGGAGCGTGCGTCGCACGGAATGCATCCTTTCTCCTGCACGGCTTGACTTGTCGCCGGCATCCCAAGGGACCGAAGTAACCAAGGAAGCGAGGAGGCTCACAAATGAAGAGAAGCTAACACAGTCCTAAACTGAGTGGACAATGAGACCAGAGAGACTGAACACAAAAGAATGAGAAAAATCAACCGAAGGTCTGAGTACTGACAAAATAAGTAAATTGTCTAGGTTGATAGATATAACCCTACCATATCTATCTACGGGCACATACAATTATATTAACTTGACGCTACTTTCAAATCAATAGACAACATATTATAAGGATAATGGGAAAAAAAGGTGAGGAGGTTGGGTTAAAAACTAGAGCCATAGGCAAGGAAAAACATGAAAGATAGATACTGGAAGAAATATGAGATATGCATAATCAAATTGAAGAATAGGAGAATATTTGCTTAACATTGAACAACATGTAACTTGTAATAAAGCAGTATGAAACAACGCGAAGAATAATGAAGGACCAGGGATGAATTAACAACGTGTTAGAGAAGAATCAAGATTAGTTTGTATGCTCATGCATACCATTTATGATATAAATGCTGGACTGGACAAAGATTGGATGAACTTAATAAAGTATTCAAGAATTGAGGAGTAGGGGATTAATAGGCTAATCGGTAAGTTAACCCATTAATCGGATGATTTATTAGTTTATTGGCTACTCGGTGACCCTAAGAGTAGGGATTAAACGGCAAGTTAAATGGTTAATCGGACGAACTCTTGAACGGGGGTATAATACAATAGCGCGGTTTACCAATACTACCGATGATTGGCATGGCATTGTTCGCTTCCTTAAATATTACTGCATCGACAATATGTTACAGCTTTATAGGAAAAAAACCAGAAAATCTCTGTCATTGCAACTTACACCAGGTTAAGAAAAGTTGGGGCACCTATTTCAGACTGACGCCACTTACTGAGTTATCAGAACCAAAGATATGCAGGACCGGGCACATATTGCCTCAATTTGCGTTCATAAACTATAAGGATTTAATGGAGTTTATATGATATGCAACAGCTCTGCTATGTCCTAGGCAGAAAGACTTGTTTATGGACACCGGCATTTTGTTCTTGATAATCATTGGCTGTAAATGAACAAAGCAAGAGCTATGGGAAAAAGAGTACAGTACAAAGATCACCAAAGTATATGCTCGAAAGCTTCAGGGCTGGCTTGCAGTAATGCATCCCGCGACATGCTAGATCTAGATGTCCTCCCTAACGAGGTCGAGGACGCACTCGACGTTGGCGGCGGGTTGGTCAAAGATCCTACCTAAAAATGTTGATGCATAAAAAGAAAAATTTGTTTGTGAAACTAAAAGATACTACTACTTTGAAAGAAAGCACGGTGTTGATCTAATTTAGTTTTAGTTTTTCTAACCACGAGCTTTTCAGATGTCATTTGACCATGAAAATTTGCACGCTAGTTCATCCAAGCATATTGGATTTTTTACCTACTTCTTTTTTTGAAACAAGAAGTTTTTATCTACTTTTTTTTAGGGAAAGAAGTTTTTATATACTGTTCACCGAGGCTCATCTCTGGATTACCGTTGAATCGCGCATAAGTTACCCAGCCCATTTACATTGGGCCTCACGGAGTGCTTGGATTCGCATTCGCTAATTCCTCAAAAAAAAGGAAGGAAAAAAAAACACAAACCCCAGAGGCAGCCAGATCCAGCGAGAACCTAACCCAAACCAGAGCTCCGGCGGTGGCCATGGATCCCCTCGCCGTGCTCCGGGACTACGCCGCCCGCGGCGACCTGGACAAGATCATCTTCAACGGCGACGACGTCCTCTTCGGCGACGACTACACCTTCCCGGCCAACGCCCCCACCGCCTTCACCTCCAAGCAGTCCGGCCGCCCCTACCCGCTCTCCGCCGCCGTCTTCCTCGCCCAGCACAACGACCTCAAGCACACTGACTTCCTCCAGGCCGCCCGCCTCCGCCGGATCCCGCCCGTCTCCCTCCCCGACCGCAAGACCTTCCTCGACTTCCTCCACTTCGGGGACAGCTCCCTCCCTTCCGCCGAGCCCCTCCTCCCCTCCTCCTTCGCGCAGGACGCCCCGCCCCCGCCCCCGCCGCCGGAGGACGAGGAGGGGGAGGGCCCCGACGCCGACGACGCCTCCACCGCCCACGTCCGCGCCGTCGAGCGGCCCCTCAAGGACCGCAACGCCCTCCTCGACGCCCGCGGCCGCGACTTCCTCGCCATCTACCACGCCGCGCTGCGCCGCGAGGAGGACCGCCTGCGCAACAAGGACGCCGCGCCCTCCGCCGCCGGCCGTGGGCACGAGCCCTCCTCAACCGCCGCGGTGTCCCTCTCCAACCCCAAGCTCGACAAGCACGGGCTCGGCGACGGCTTCGTGCCCATCATACTGGTGCCCAGCGCGTCGCAGACGCTCATCACCATCTACAACGTCAGGGACTTCCTCGAGGACTTCGTCTTCGTGCCCAGCGACGACAAGATGCGGGCCATGAAGGGGAGCCCCAAGCCCGAGTGCGTCACCCTGCACAAGAAGCACGTCCGCGGGGCTGCCGGTCCGGTGGCGTTCGAGGTCAGGGACAAGCCGGCATCGCTCAAGGCCGACGACTGGGCGCGGGTCGTCGCCGTGTTTGTGCTCGGAAAAGAGTGGCAGTTCAAGGACTGGCCCTTCAAGGGCCATGTCGACATCTTCAACAAAGGTTTGCCACTCTAGTTACTGCTTGCCTGCTTGTAGTATATCTGCGATTTGTTGTGTTTGCATCTCCGGGAGCTCCGTTAGTTTTTGCTCAATGACTGTAGAAATAATCACATCACATCGGTGATTCAAGATTTTCGTACTGAGAGGTTCATAGTGATCGCTGAATTGTCCATCGACATTGCAGGATAGGGCTGTGCTGTACCGGGAGGGAGTACACTTTGAGTACTTACTTTGTTAATCCAATTGGGTTAAAATGATGCTTGTTTTTGGCATTGACATTGACTGTCGAGCAGGAAATCACTGCCGCTATGACTAACCAAATCATACCCGTTTGCCTGCACCTTTTATCTCTGTTCCTAACAAAGCCTCCCACTAAACTTGGTCAAAAATTTATGGTATTTGTAATGCAACATGGAACATTAGATTGCTCTGTTTCTCTTTTCAGCACAGCAAGTCGATACCATCTGTGGCCTAACATTTTAAACTTTTCTCTCAGTTATTGGGTTCTTTGTACGCTTTGAAGATGATAGTGTGGATTCAGCAAAAGTGGTCAAACAGTGGAATGTCAAAATCATATCTGTGAGTGGGAGGAATTTTCCATATTCTTTTTTGGTTATTGTAGTCAAATTCTATCTTGCTCCCACTTACAGCTACTTATTGTGTTACTAACCTATGGCGCAGATAAGCAAGAATAAAAGGCATCAAGACAGACCGGCTGCTCTCGAGGTGTGGGATCGGCTGGACGAATTTGTGCGGGCACGCTCATAGGTGAAACCTCGTGTGTATCTAACCATGTGATCTTTTAACCTGTCCCTTCCATCTTGTACTTCATACGGGCAAAACCTTGAATTCCTGGTGAATTTAATAACCGGGTTTTGTAGGATTGGCTATCATGTGTTTTCTTGAAGTTCAACTGTCGTTGCAGTAACCTTAGTGATACATGTGTGTTTACTGAAGGTTCAGTTTTGTTCTTTGTGCTATGGTCTTGTCAAGCATTTGGTGACCTAGAGTATGGTGCAGGGGTAGTCCTGCAGGCAATTAGGATGAAGGCTTCACCTCAAATACGCATGATGATATCAAATTGTGCTATTCAAGTTAATTTTATAACAAGGAAGCCATCATAGTGTGTAACTTCCTTTACTGTAATGTTTTAATAATTCACACTGGTAGTTTTAGTTGTTGGCTTCTTGCTATTTCTATATTTATTGTTAGAAGAATCCAGAAATGGTATCAACTACTAGCATCTTGACATTGTTATTTTGATTGATTTGGGATTCACATATTTCTATATATTGTTAAATACAATGCTCGAGGATTTGCTAAGTGTAGCCTTTTCAGTTCTACAATGCTCATAGTAGGTTTTGCCTTTATGCAAGTTAAACTGTTCCAACTTCTTGCCAGAAGTGGGCCTGTAATGTCATCATTTGAGCTTACATGTAGTAATTTTTATGGTCTGTCAGACATATCCCTGATAATGAGATAATGAGCCTGTGGCGGCAACTGGGCTAGGATATATAGTTGAACTAGACCATGATGACGCGCTTTGCCGCACCGTTCATTTCGGTTATAGAACTATGTTAATTTACATGATCCGGTCTATAATAGTCACAATGCATACATAGGTTAAATTTGCATGAACCGGTCCAAGACATAGGACTAAGGCTTTACTTCAAATATTAGGCATGCAAATTTGAAACCTTGAGGGTACCCTCTGACCCTCTTTAGTTCAACTAAATGAACTAAATTATCAGAATCTAGTTCATTTGGTTGAACTAAGTAGGATTGAAGGGTACCCTAAAAAAAAGGGCAACCTGGTGCATGTAGCTCCCGCTTGCGCAGGGTCCAGGGAAGGGTCCGACCACTTTGGGTCTATAGTACGCAGCCTTTCCCTACATTTCTGTAAGAGGCTGTTTCCAGGACTTGAACCCATGACCTCATGGTCACAAGGCAGCAGCTTTACCACTGCGCCAAGGCTCATTGAAGGGTACCCTAATGGCTCCAAATTTGCATCCCAATCAAATATGCATGATGGTATCAGATTGTCCTGTTCAAGTTAATTTTTTAGCATGAGAAGCCATCATAGTATGTAACTTCCTTTATGTCATGTTTCAGTAATTCACAGGTATTTTTAGCTGTTGGTTTCTTGCTATTGCTATATTAATTATTAGAAGAATCCAGAAATGGTTATCATCAACTACTAGCATCTGGACATTGTTATGTTAATCGATTTGGGATTCACATGTGTCACTATATATTTTGGATACAATGCTCAAGGATTTACAAGTGTACCTTTTCAGTTCTACTGTGCTCATAGTAGGTTTTGCTTTTATGCAAGTTAAACTGTTCCAACTTCTTGCATTTAGTAAATTTTTATGGTCCATCAGGCGTATCCTCGATAATGAGCCGGTGGTGGCAACTGGGCTAGGATAAACTGTATATATTTAAATCATTCTTCATATTCTATTGGTTAACTGTTAGCTTTCTACCACCCTGTATTTTTGTAAGGATATTAACCTTACCTGTTTCGAGTTAGTGATGATTACTTTTTCTTATATTTTGAATGAATTTTATCAAGTGTTTTTCATGGCCTCATCCCTTGGTGACATTTTCTTCTGATTTCGTTTTCAGTCGCTGTTATGACTCAAATACTCAAATACCATGTTGGGTGATGGAAGTGGACTTATGCTGGCTGAGTTGTCGACAAGCAGAACAAGCACCCCTATATCCCAGCCTTCGTATTTCAGGTGCCGGTCGATGGCGGAATGAGATGCCAGGAACCTACCTTCCTTCTGCATTCATGATGATTTGCATCTTATGTGCATTTCGGTTGCTAAGCTATGATGTAGTCTATCCAATCTGACATATTAACTGTAGACTGGTGACATGGTGCTAGGCTACTTCATCCGCAGCATTGTCGGAGATGGTGTCATCATCTTTTCACCATTTCCTTGTGTGGATATTGGGGATTAGGGAAGCTAGGGGTTATCCACGAAAGGAACATTGTCTGATTCCATTGTTGTAACCAACGCGAGCCATCAGGATCTGAAACCCTAGAACATTTTGCTTTGCTTCAAACACATAAACTGTAGTATCTTCACTGCAACATGGTGTAACACGGGCGCGGCCTGAATCTACACCGCATCGTATGGTACATCGATACTTTCGCTGGGGTTACGGTAATGGCTATGGGGGCTTACACAAACATGGCCGAAACATAGGCAAGAAACACACTGATGAGCACGGTGGCAGCGGCGGAGCTTGGCGCCCCTGCTGCGTGCAGCAGTTCTGGGAGCTTTGATATCCCCTGTGAATCGGTGCTTGATCCAGCGCCTTGGGGGGCAACCTGTCCCGTCTTCGTGGCAGCAGCCTGAGAATCGTCACCTGCTGCCGGTGGAGCTTCAGTCGCACCGGCACTCTCCGGCGTCGATGATGTTGTGGCTGCAGGCTCAGGCTCGGTGGGAGTGGCCGCCGGAGGTGCCGCTTCTGGAGACGCGGCCTTTGCGGTTGGCGTCGTCGAGTCGTCGGTCGAATTGCTCGCGCCAAAGACATCTGCACCATCATCATCAGATTTCCGTCAATGAAACCCCTGTCAATGGTGTGTTGTAGTACTCCCTCCGCCCGGAAATATTTGTCGGAGGAATGTACGTATCTAGATGTATTTTTATTTTAGATACATCCATTTATATCCATTTCTATGATAAGTATTTCCGGACGAAGGGAGTACGTAGTAGTGGTGAAAGGAAGGGAGGAGATGAGGGACGCACCATCGCACGGGTCGGTGGGCAGGTTGCACACGTTGGGGATCATGCCCTGGACCTGGCCGAGGACGAGGCCGAAAGGGCTGGGCGCGAGCTTGGACATGGCGCACAGGCAGGGGCCCTGGGACTGGAAGAAGGCCTGGAGCTGCGAGCAGCACGATGGCAGCGCCGCCGAGCCGGCGCCGAAGACGTAGCCGATGCACGGGGAGAGGCTGATCGGCACCGGCGCGCAGGTGGGCATCGTCATCGTCGTCGGCTGCACCGTCGTCATCTGTGCCGAGCACAGCGCCGCCGTCGCGACGAGGACAACCACCCCGAGCACGCGCCGGGTCATCTTGGATGGTTCTTGATGGAATGGAATGGAATGTACTGGATCGGATTGGATTGGATTCGACGTGGGGAAGACGATGGAAGCGGCAGGGTTTATGTATACGAGAAACTGTTGGGAAAAGCTGGGAAACTGTGGCCGGGTGGATGAGCCGGTCTATCTAACTGCCGGTCCTGTGGCTTTTCGAGGCTCGCCGGTGAACTGACCGGAGAATGTCGCGCTCGCTGCCGGCTCTCTGTGACTGTGAGAGGTCTATCCTACCGGGCCGCTTTCCTGCAGAATGTGCTTTGATCAGCTCGGCTTGGACGGTTGGTCACCAACCCGATTGCCTCTCATGCTTGCCTGGTGAGCCAAAACAGAGCCTCTAGCTCTAGTAGTACCCAGTGACTTTTTTTTTGTGTGCGTGGGCAAAACCAAGTACCCAGTGTGGGCCCCACCTGCCCTAAACGTTCAAATATTCTCCAAAAAAAGACCCAGATATGTTATAAAGAGATTTCATAAGAACTCCAATCGTCATTATTGAACCCATGAATCGATTTAAAACGTGACACATTAGTCAGATAAACATAGTTTACAATTATGCAAGGCTTACACGCGGACTCCATCTGTCATAATCGTGCTCACTGGCAAAGATTAAATAGCGAGGATGGTTATGGATTTGTAGAAAATGGCAGTGCACTAGTCTTTCGCCACATGGTGCGACCCTATCAATCCTGCATCGCTAGCTGTCTGGCGCACCGAAGGCCTACAACAGGTGGCGGCACTAGGAGGTGTCGTGAGTTGGTGGTATACCTGACCATAAGTGGGGCTAGGCCTAATAAAGCCCGCAGTAGAAAACTTAGGCCCAGACCTGGCCCGGCCCGACCGTCAGGCCTGGCCCATAAAAGGAAAAGCCCGGTCGTCTTCCCTAAAATGCAAAAAGTCAAGCCCAAGCCCGGCCCGTCCCCCGGCCTAGATTTCAGGCCCATGCTCAGCCCATCTAGCCTCAGGTCTCTTTCCTAAAACGCAAAAAAGTCAAGCCCAAGCCCGGCCCAACCTTCGGGCTCAAATTTTAGGCCCAGGCCCAACCCACGGGCAAGACCGGGTCGGGTCGGACTGGCCGGCCCGGGTATCCCGTGGCCAGGTATAGTTGGTGGTGAGTGGTGACCATTGTCGGCATTTTCCCGGCGAATGTACTCCGCGGATTGGCACAAGAGCCATATATGTCATGGCCTCTGGGTTCAACATGCACGACATCATACGTTTTACTACAACTCCTGGTTTTTATTTCGCAAAGGGTTTGGGCTCCTCTGAAATTTGAATTGGGCAGAAACTCATCTAATTTTGCCCCAAAAATCTGTTTAAACCTAGTTCAGATTCAGGTTCGGTGGAATTTGGTTCACTTTAAATTTTGGAGAACCCTCCTGTTCCATGGAGGTTCTACCTTTGCCAAAGGTGTCTTTCCATCTGTTTTTATATTATACTTTCTCCCTTTTTATCCACATATTAGCTTTGTCTTAAGTCAAAGATTGTAAACTATTTCCGCACACACACACAAAAAAGATTGTAAACTATGACCAAATTTATATTTTTTGTGTTAACATCTACAATGCCAAATAATAATATTCCATTCATTATTTAATATATTGTCATAAAATGCATATTTCTTATTGTTAATGCTTATATTGTCTTCTATAAATAAACCATACCCAGCTCCGTGAGACGTTGGAGGAAGCCACCAAGTGGAATTAATTCCTCGTTACAAAAGCTAGCACTATATATACATCGCACCACCAAGTGACAACTCTGGTGTGCACTGGGGATAATAATAACCGATAAAAACAAGTCACACCTCTGATGTGCAGTGGAGCAAATCAGTGACAGACTCATCACTGGTAACAGGCGGCACATCCATCTAGTCGAGTCACGAACTCACAACATGCCCCGGCAGGAATCACATGACGATATCAGAGAACATAAGCAGCTAGGAACGAGGCAGCCATGGCCAGGACGACGACGGCAGCGGAGGTCCCCTTGCACTCAACGGCAGCCGCCGAATCAACCGTCCCCGGAACCGACTTCACCCCACCACCGGAAGGCGTGCCAGCCGGGTCCGCATCAGCCGGACCGGTCACCGGCGCAGCAGCCGCAGCATCAGTAGGTGTTCCCGTCGACGACGACGGCGCCGGAGCAGAGCTGGTGGTCCCTGTCACAGCTGCACACACACACACACAGCAACAGAAGTGGTTAGTCACTCTCACTCCACTTCAGTATGTCGCTGGCATGGCAGCATGCGCGTACCGGAGCAGGCGTTGGGGGGCAGGTCGCAGGCGGTGGGGAGCAGGCCACCGACCACGGACCCGAGCTGGGACGGCACGGCGGACACGGCGGCGCAGAGGCACGGCGCCTGCGACTGGAACAGGGCCCGCATCTGGACGCAGCACGCGTCGGACGGCGACGAGGAGTTGCCGATGAAGTAGCTCACGCACGGCGACAGCGAGGCCTGCACCGGCGGGCAGCTCGGCACGCTCACGCCCGGGCTGGGCACGGCCGGCGGCTGCTGCTGCGCCGTGGACGCCGCCCATGTGACGGCCAGCACGGCGAGCCCCAGGCTCAGCGCGGACGATAACGAGAGGCCGCCGCTCCGGCTTCGGGCCATCGGCGGGTGGATGGATGATCGGAGTGAACTGGCCGGGCTTTCTGGTGCACTGTGCGATCGGCCGGTGGACGTGCCGTCGTGCCGTGGCTCGTGGTTCATTTATAGGTGCTCGGATGCTTTGTTGGACGAACGACCGGTGGCCCGGTAGCGACGGGCAGATCGACTGCCCTATCTAATCTAACGTCCAAAAGTGGAGTAGCTTGCACTTTGCCACTGCTTTTCCAGAGATGTCACCGTGTTGGTGGGAAAACTCGGATGAACTCGACACTGCTAGCTGAGACGGATCGTGCATCAGAGTCTCTCTCTCCTTTTTTGAAAGGAGATAATAATAATGCTTTAAAAAAAAATTAAAAACACCCAAAGTGCAACTTAAATCTGATTAATATCAAGCAAACACAAAACCAATACAATGCACAGACAACTGGATGAAGAACGACTAGTAAAAGATAAAATTAATCGGTACTGTACTAATGAAGAAGGGATTACATCGTCGCAAAATAATTTGGACCTCTCCGTTCACTGCTGTGTGACTCAAGGTCGTGCTACAAGATTTGGGAGGAAAAAAGCGTGTTGTTATTTCATCCAAAACTCATGGACATGCATGGCTCTTTTTGTTGGCACGTCGGCGTGTATGCCTCAGTCCTAGGCTCATGGTCGAATTCTATTCTTTGAGCTTCAATTCAAAAATGTGCACCTTTCAATCTGAATCTTCCACCTTTTACTTTTTGAGCTTTCGTCATTCGCCTCAGCCTTTGTATCTCATGGAGCAACCTAGCAGAGCATTAAAAAAGAGAGGTAAAAGCACCCCAAGTACCCTAACTTGTATGAAATGTGATGATTTAGTACCAAACTTGCAAAATGCAACTCCACCATACCCCAACTTGCACTGGATGTGATGATTTAGTCTCCGGCCTATCACAGCTCGACAAGTGGCAGCCAGGTGGCTGGACCGGTCTTCGCCCGCATTTTTGCAAGAAACACCCTGCCATCTTCTTTAATTAACCCGCATTACTCGATGTTAAGTGCAGTTAACTGCATATCTCCCTGTGGCTGGCGCTGTGCCACCGGACCTGCCGATCACGATGCAGGAGCTCTGGGACGACGCGCTCACCCCCAACGCCACGCTCCGGCGGCTCATTGCCGTATGGTTCTCTCGTCGATACACCCGCTTCAAGAAGCGCTCGGCTGACTACCACGGCCGCGCCGCCGACCTTGTCCACGGTCTCCGCGGCACGACCGTCCCGAGGAGGCATCCCTTCACAAGAGAAATGACTACAGGACTCCATTCTTAGGGAGATGAGGGATGGGCATGAGCTAGTTATGGCAGCTAATGAAACATCAGTGATATTGCGTGCAAGTAATGTCCAGCTTCAGCAAATTCTTTAGTCTTGACACAACGAAAGACAGATCAGTATTTGTCTCTCCCGAGCACTTGCTCAGGCTCAACTCTCTTAAAGAGACACAAGAAATTCCAATGTATTTTAGTCCATCAGCCATGAACTTGCAGCCTTCCAATTTCAGGGTCTGCAATTTAGGAAGCATTTGGAAGCATCTTTCCATAGACGGAGTAACCTGCCAAAAAGAAGAATGTAAAACAAACTGGAGAAGGTCAGGTTATGCCCAGATGATGCTACTACAATTAGATACTTACATTACAGCAGTACGACAGATTCAATTCCAAGAGATTTGGCACTGCCTCCACAACTGATGAAACTCCCGCATGAGTGACATTCCGACAGGTTGACATATCGAGCACCTGCAAGAGTAGAAGTGTTATTTTCAAGTTTATTGGCCACAATACTTGGGAAACTTTGTTGAGTGCCTACACATGTTCTTATGTAACTACTTGTTCTACATCGACATGTATGGATGTGCCAAACATTCTATATTAACTGCAAATGCAGCGCTAGTATCCTAGCGACATTATATTATAAAATCTACACAAAGAGTTGATGAACCTAATAGTGATCAAATGAAGGTGACATGGCACACAACACTAACACACGAGACAAAATGGTCTAGTTTGATGATTACCCGTAGTGATTTGCTGCATTCATTCTCAAGACCACTAAGGGCATCATCATCTATTCCAACACATCCCACCAGTGCCAACACCTTAAGATTGGGTAGCTTCATGATGGCTGGAAGGCAGTCTTTGGAGATCTGCAATGCAAGATAAGTATTTATTAGCCCGACGAAATTAGTGTGTTTCTCTATTTGGCACCTCAACAGAAAGTAGCCTATTACTTATTCCCATCCTCAAAAGGTATTTTTTTACTGCAGTAGTCCATTTCTTTGACAGAAAAAATCAAGTCACTGCGATAGTCCAATTCCATGAGCATTTCTTGCAAAAGAAAATATAAACAGA